GTTTTTCCACGCGTCTGATCGCACTGGGGGGGGGGGGGGGTGCGTGGAAGCGGTGCCATTGAATTCAATGCACCGCCACGCCCCCTCCCGCCCCAAAACGCGGGGGGAAGTTTCTCAGCAATCGCGGTGCGTTCCAGCAGCTACCGCTGTGGAACGCACGTTCGTTCGGTGTGAACAAAGGCCTGATGGTATCATGTACAAGAAAAGATACTCCATAAAGACAAAATAAAAAGTTTCATGATCCTTGCCATTGTTACATTATGTCTACGAAAGTCCATCTATCAAAGTTAAAGTGACACTAAACTCCGGAGATAAACCCTAAAGATCTCTTCAAGTAACTACCCTGTTTCCCCGAAAATAAGACCTACCCCGAAATTAAGACCTAGTACTATTTTTGGGAATTGCTCAAATATAAGACCTACCCCGAAAATAAGACCTAGTTGTGACCATTCCCAGGGCCGGTGGTGGCATAAGGGGGGAACTTGAAGAGCCGCGGGAGAGAATCAGTGGTACCAGCGAAGCCGGCGCTTGAGGAAGCGAGGCGGCAGCGGAGGGAGCAGAGCCGCATAAGCCGCCGCCTCCTCTATAGCGCCGCCTCCTGAAAGTGGGAAAAAAAACATAGCGCAAGCATCGGGGCATTTTGGCAAGTACAAGTACTTGTCAAAATGCCCTGTTTTTTCCGCCCTCACCCTGCAGCGCCCTCAGGCGGCCGCCTGACTTGCCTTGCGGTAGCGCCGTGCCTGAACTCCGGAGTTTAGTGTCACTTTAATTTATATAACAAAATCCTAACATTCTTATTCTTGTTTTCTTGCGTGGTGACTAACTTTATAAGGCTCAAGCCTGAAATATGTGCAAAAACACACAAAAACACTTGTTCAAACACAAAAAAAAAAATAAAGGACCCAAATAACGACCAAAGACGCTCAACTCAATTGTGAATGGGGCCCAAGTTGTGTATTTATTGCACTTACAGCAATTCCTCCATCCTACAGCTTGGACTACACAGAGCTGCCATCAGGTCACCGAGCCCGGGACCCTCCAGATTGTTGTATGACAGGTCCAGCTTTCCCAAGCTTTGGCTATTGCTGATTAGAGACCCCAGCTGGGGACAGGAAGTGTCTCTCAGATCATTTTTACTCAAACTGTAAAAGAAAAGGAAAAAAGATTTCATCATAATAATCATAATTCACTCCCTACTAATCACAAAATACCTCTTGCCCACCTGAAGTTTCTTCACAGTCCTTGGCATAATGCGGGCAGAAAATAAACAGACAGACACGTTAGAGTGGACTTTCTCAACCAGGGTTTCGTGGAACCCTTGGGTTCCTCCAGAGTTTGCTAGGAGTTCCTTAGGTTGTGGTTGTGACCTCCTGTCTATTAAGGCCTCCATAGTTCTGGAGCCAACGCCCCTTGGCAGAGCCAGTTGCATGACGCCAATGATCTTTTTAGCTTTCTGTATGGATACCATTATGGCCACCAATGTATGAAGCTTTTCCCCACTTACTGGAAATGAATTGGTTTTAGCAGGGGTTCCCCGAGACCCGAAATTTATTTTAAGGGCTTCGCTGGTATGAATAGGTTAAGAAAGGCTGTTTTAGAGTATAATTGCATCTTTGGTGCCATTTAATTTTGTAATATCCTCCATGGCTCCAAATCTCCAACAGCCTTAAGGTGCCCGTACATTGTCCGAATTTCGGACGATTTTTATTCTACTGGCCGGAATTCGCACAGTGTGAGGGGCTGTCGGCTCCCTTTCGTAGATCGAAGGAGCCCCCTGGAAAATCTTTGTGCAATCAGAGCCGGCAGCCAATGAGCTGCCTGCTCTGATCAGGTATTCTGACAGGTACCGGCGGCACCTGTCAGAATACAACGCAAACAGTGGCGATTCCTGGATCGACACGCTGTTTGTGTTGATGGCGGAATCACTTTTTTTCGTTCAGCCGGCGGGGTTGAACGAAAAAAATTGTCGCTTGTACGCAGTGCCGTCACAAGGGGGGTGCGGCCCGCACCCGGGTGCCACCGTTAATGAAATACGGACAGTTGCAATATCACTATCAACTATTACTGACAATTGAAGCTGCGGAGTTTCCTATGGGGGATATTTAGGGAATTTACAATACTAACAATCACAGTAATCTAAACAATTAAAATTTTGCTGCTACAATAAAAAAAGTCAAGAAACAAGCAATCTTTCCTTTTCTTGCATTGTTGGATAGTCACTGCTTGGTCAGGACTAATGACTATACCCAATGAGTATAACACTAACCTACAATTACGCATATTTAAACTTTACCTTAAACACTTGATGGTCCGAAGAGCTGGCACAAGTTTCCGCAACCCCTCACTGTGCATATTGCATGAGTTTAGATGTAGTTCTTCTGCCTCTCTGCAGGAGTCGAGGATAAATGATAAGACAGAGCAGTCAAGGGGAGTTAGATGAACACCGGAAAAGTCAATAACTTTGTTAGATCCAGTACTTTGTAACACTAGCTCCTTATTCCGGCTCTCGTGGAGATAGTAGAACACATTGAGAAGCTCTTTCTTGTCTCTTATGGATCTCTCTGGTTTTTGCTCCTTTGCAATTTTCTCCTGAAGCCAGGAGATGACATGCCTGGAAGCCTCTGTAGACAATTCTTCCACGTGAGACTTTAACATGGACCTAGTTGTAGAATCTGAGAGACCGCAGAGGAAGCGAAGGAATATTTCAGCACGGCCATCTTTGTAACCTTTAGTCTTATCAAGCGTTCCCTGTAATTTGTCAGGATCATAGTCTATAAAATGGATTGAAGCAGCAAAGAACTCCTGAAGAGTGAGGTGTAAGAAGGTGTAATCCACATTAGGAGGCCGACCAGATTCCATCATGAAACATGAAAAGATGTATTTGTCATTTCTCACCCCGAATGAGTCCAGATGACGCTCATCAAACACAACAATGTGATTCATGACTCCATGTTCTGCCATCCACCCGATAGAGGACAGTAGATCATGGGCAGTGTAACAATCATCTTTCTTGTGGTTGTGATTGACCAGAATGTTGGAGACAAAGATGACAAAGAGTTGTGTCATTGTTTTGGGCAATGATGTCATCAGCTGGTCAGTGATTGTTGGATGGGCTCTGAAGCACATTGATAGGACTGTACATATGATCCAGCAGTACGATGGGATGTAACAGAAAGTGTACAGCGTGTCATTCTCCTGAACATAATGAAAAGCTTTTTCTGACAGTTCCTTGTTCCCAAAGAAATGTTCGAAGTAGATCAGTCGGTCTCTGTGGAGAAATCCCATGATCTCAGTCATCCTCTGGAAAACACGAATGTTAATTGATGCCATTCTGGTTGGACGGCTGGTCATCAGCACAGAGCAACCCTTAAGAAGTCTCTGCCTCACCAAGCTTTCCACAATGACACCAAAAGTGTCCATGTGCTTCGGATCATTGCACACTTTGCTTGTTTTGAAGTTCATTTGGTGAACACTTTCATCCAAGCCATCAAATATAAACAGAAGTCTCTCTGGATGCTGTAATATATTTCCAATCTGACCCTCCAGATGTGGATATTGTTGAAGAATCATCTCCTCCAAGCTGACCTCACCCAGTTTATTAAGCTCTCGGAATTTAAAGAAGAAGACAAAAGTGAACCTCTGGTAGTGTTCTCCCTTCACCCAATCATAGACAAACTTCTGCATCAGTGTTGTCTTCCCTATTCCTGGCACTCCGCTCACCATTACTGCATGTGGCACACATTGGGACTGGTGGGTCCAGCGGAACAGCCAGTTGGGAGAAATGTGTTCCAGGCCGTTTTGGGTTTCCTTGAAGCATTCCTCGTGTTTTATCCCAGTCTGGATTAGCTCATTCTGGGAACGCGGTCTGAAGTGATCAGTGGAGACAACAATCAGGTTCACGTAACGCTCGCTGAGATAGAAGCTCTCTGATTCCAGGGTGGATCCTGGGGGTTTGAGCTCCACGAGAGTCTGAGTTTTCTCCAGTAGATGTTGCTTGTGCTTCATCTGCATATCTGGGAAAGAATGGTAATTACGTTAATGGCTCAAGTTAAAGAATAAGTGGAAAATGTGACTTTTCGGGGTTGATTTACTAACCTTATAAACACACCACGAACATGTATACACCTCTGTAGTGTGTTCCCTCCCAGCATGATCTATGGGTGGAATCTAAACACCTTTGTAGTGTGTACACACCCAGCAGGTGTGTTGTGCAAAGCCCTGCATGAATTGCAAGGTGATGTTGTGTAAATTAGCTCTATGTTGTGTTGCTTGCGTTGATGAATGCAGGAATGTAAATGCATGAGCTAACCATTGTTGTCTAAACTGTGAAGCAGCATTATATATGCATCATGTGCATGATTTTTCCATATATGACATTAGTGGAAATATGCTTTTAGAGACATTTTGGTTGATAAATAAGTTTTGCTGTGTGAAAATCACACGCACCTGGTGCGTGCGTGTGTTTAGGTTAGTAAATCCCCCCCTTCATGTCAACTTTAAAGCTGAACTATAGGAAGGTACAAAAAATACCATTTATGGGAGTTTTGTGTTAAGCTATAGAGAAACATAACAAAAGGCAGTGCAAAAGACTTCCATAGTGTAGTAAGAACTTTAATGACATAAACTCAGTTGCCCTCACAAGAGAAGAAGCCCTGTGTACAGCAGATCACAGCAAGCACTGATGGAAAAGGAACAAGCCTTCTAGTCTCAACCGCATGTCTGGGCCACAGGCAGAGGGAACAGACAACCATCGGAGAGGTGAGGAGTCTGGGAGGAAGCCCATAGGCATGCCGTCAAATTCTGCTCATTCAGGTGATGTTAGCAGGTTGGAACACATTTCGGGTATAGAAAATGGAGGTTCCCCTTCATCAGGCTGGCCTGTAGGACTACTTTCTGCCTTTGAAGTACTAACCAATTATTTATGTCTAGGTGTTGTAATATTCTGGGCAGATATGACCCGTAGCCAGCCGTATCAGTGAATAAAACTTTATTCTTTGCTTCAAACAAGAACGGCTTATATTCAGCAGAATGACAAAATCAACCGGGCTTATCGTCAGCAAAGACTCAGCTCAGCGCCTGTATACCATATTCCAGCCTCAGGGTTAGAGTCCCAGCCTGCTCACAGAGGGTTCCAGTATGGACACAGGTGCCCCAGCAGTGTCTCGGTAGACGGTATTCCACAGCTTAACACACACACAGCCATGTGTCCTGCTCCAAACACTCCTCACAGCCAGCCCTGACTGGCTTCCTGTTCCTTTTTAACCCTTTCCTTACCAGAACTGGCTGTAGTCAGGGATGGAGTCTCTGTCCCACCCAAAAATATCTCTGAGCCTCCAGATTCCGGGAACCCATGCATAATTAACAACTCTGGGAAGACTACCTAGCAGTTTACCTTACAAGTCTGACCGGGAACCCCTCACCCTGCTTGGCGAGAACCCTGCATACAAGGTGACCTTAACGGGACCACCACCTAAACAAGGGAGGGATATATCGTCCATCCAGGACCCATTCCTGGCGCCCTGTACAGTGTATTCTCTTGCTATTTGGCATACTATGTTATATGTATTTATTATACTGTGCATTCTGATACTCTTTGTGTGATCATAGTAATTTCATATAAACCAGGGGTGTTCATTCACAAAATAAACCTTCAGCCTGCTGATGCCACTGCAACCCGTAGATGGCAGTTTTTCTCTATTTAATCCTATAATTTTCATTATTTACATACAGTTACATTATTTTAAAAAATGTATTTTACATTTTTACCTGTAAGCTTATAATAGAAAACACAGAGCATTCCTTTACATAAAAGCCTTACATGCCCTTCAAACATTTAAGAGTAATTAAGTTTGCTCGATCAATATACGTATAACACCTAGGTCTAAGCTCAGGCCCCCCCCCCAGCTCCCTTATTTGACCCTTGCCCCCATTTGAAACACTCATGCATGTAGTTGCTTAATAATTCTCCTGGTCTTGCCACCGTCCAGTCTTGTGTAGCATGACCACTCATGTATCCTTGTTGTAGTTCTTTGTCCTGTCCTTTTGTCAGCATGCCTATTCCTCTCTGATTCCATGCTTTGTCTAATATTTAGTAATGCTGCTCCGCTCCATTTTCCACTCATGCTTCCTGGTTACAGCAGATGTTACTTTACAAACTTCAACAGAAAATGGACTGACTGAGTTCATTCACGCTGTCCTGGATCCCTGGTAGGGTGTCCGGTCTGCATCCTGGTAGTAGAGCTTACATAATCATCAACACAAGCCAAGTCTGTGCTCATAGAAAACTACATGTCAAGTTCTCCCTGGTACACAGCAATACGGTCCATAACATTCCTGAAGCTTGCCAGTAGAAAACAAGGGCCTCTCATTACAGCAGGCCTTCCTTCCTCTTTACAAATTGCCCTATTATAGTATTAGAGTAGTAGCGGGAAAACTGTAGAATACAATTTGCAGTTTTACAAGTAGAGACTGAGACTGTCTCTGTTTTCCAACCTGTCTGATCAATCTCCCCCCCCCCCCCCCAATGAGTCATCCCTTGGGTGAAGGAAGGAGCGAGGACTTTGTCCTTTTCAAGTTCAGTGCAAGAAGACCTCGTCCCTAGAATGCAACTGGAGGACATTTTTTTTGTGTACGCACTGCTCAATGTAGATCCAAAAGCCCTCAATGAACAGAACAAAGTCAAACCGAATCTACGACATGTCTGCACCCTGAACAAAAGTGGCCATGTTCTTCATACATAGTGTATACTTTACCTTTCAGCTCGGGGTTCAGTGAGTGTCCATGTTCATCCAATAGGATCTGCTCCACCAATCGCTCACCTTAGAAAAACATAACGCCTGTGAGTCTTAATTACATGAGATTTAGAGCATTAGAAATATGTCTAAACAATCAGCATAAAGCTACAAATTTTATATTTAAAGGAGAACTATGGGGTCAGGGCTTTTCCCCATAGTTCTCCTTAGGGTAACGGGAGAACACAAACTAGCGTCCTCCCGTCACCCTAGGCTCAGTATATAGGGAGCTACAGCTCGCGGTATACTGAGACGCCGCAGCCGGAGCGGATCCCGACATCGATGTCGAGATCCGCCCAGCTGTGTGAGTGACAGCTGGCTCTGCCTATCTAGAGGCAGAGCCAGCTGTACCCGCCCCCTCCATTCCTCCAGTCAGCGCTGGCAGATCGGAGTGGGGGGAATCCAGCCCCTCCCCCTGTCACGGCAGAGAGCCGTGACAGGATTGAGAGGTGAGCGAACGCCGGTATGTGTTCGCTCACCTCCCGTTCTACTGAGCCGACCTGTGACAGTCTCATTGTCACAGGTCGGCTAGAACTATGAGGTGAGTGAAAATCACCAACCGCATAGTTCTCCTTTAAATCTGAACTCCAAGAAAACCACCAAATACACAGATTAAATACTTATATGGGAGCGGTACAATGACTCGGATAAACGAGAACCTTCAAAGGTCTACTTGAAATGCATTTTTCATGCAGAAAAATTCATGTGTTTTGCCGAAGGAAAATCGCCAACTGTGAATAGGCTCTAAAATGTTAATTATTTAAAAAAGTGTAATCAGATTTAAATGTGTTGCATTGTGAGATGGCAGAGACTGACAGAGATGAAAGAGAGCCCATGTCGTAGGTCTTTGGCAATGTCCTACAAGTTTCGTATTAGCATCAGATACAGAGTGGAATAAAAGAGCAAAGTGCTTTTGCATTCAAGATAATGTAACCTCATCAAGAAAGCCTATCATGCTCTGAATACCTTCAAACAGACCTCCCGATGGTCAGAAGGGATGAAAGAAATTAAGGTTTTTAATTTCTTCTAAATTTTGAAGCAGCTTTTGGTAAAATGTCACCATTTTGCAGTGGAGTGGGGCAGCACAGTGGCATAGTAGTTAGTGCTTCTGCCCTGGTTCCTGGCTTGGTCACTATCTGCAAAGAGTTGGCATGTTCTCCCTGTGCTTGTGTGGGTTTCCTCCGGGTACTCCAGTTGCCTCCCACACTCCAAAGACATGCTGGAAGGTTAATTGGCCCCGGTCTAAATTGGCCCGGTATGTATACATGTGAGATAGGGACCTTAGATTGCAAGCTCCTTGAGGGCAGTGACTGATGTGAATGTGCAAACTATGTCAAGAGAGGCGTATATTGTCAGCTCTAAAGAAATACCAAAAATAATAATAATGATTCAATGGGGAAGATGAAATTAGGGTGGATTTTGGTGGTGCACTGGGTTCCCAATGGCTCTTGAGGATCACAGAAGCTCCTTTCAAATATCCTAGACCTGTTCTTATGCCAAAAATGGTCACTCGTTAGCCTGATTCTTTCTATATTTTCTCACATAAAGAAAAAAAATGAGAACAAAAAAAAACCTGAGGGTACACATATATCAAATATATCGTACGCATTGATCAAATACAACAAGAAAGGAACAAAAAACTCAAATGCAAAGAACTCTAAATGAAATAAACTAAACTACACTAGATATGCAGCCAAAAACACAGCCAATAAATAAATGAAGGGAAAAAAATAAGTAGATTTCTTGTTTTTGAGAAACTTTCAACCAAGCAGCTCAATGAGAGATCCTCCTTCAGGGAAATGTTGCCAACAGCAAAATCAGTTACTTTGTCAAAATCTCTTTATTATTATTATTATTATTATTATTATTATACAGAATGCATAGAGCACCAACAGTTTGCGCAGTGCTTTACAATATAAGGAAGACATTACAATCACAATACAATTCAAGACAAGAGGGTAAGGAGGGCCCTGCCCCTGAGGGCTTACAATCTAACAGGGAGGGGCCAGTGATACATGAGGAGGTCGCTGTGTGGGGATGAATTATTTGAGAATGTTATGGTTGAGTGGTTAGGTTGAGGTGGCATACTCTACTCAGCCCTATGTGTCGATAGCAGCAGTTACATCATCCCCTGATTTTAATGTGAGAGGTGAGGAGACATGGGCACAGCATGAGAGTGAGGCCAGCCCATGACAATTGAGTATGCTCCAGGCACTGACATTCTCTGGGGTCAGAGAATGCCTGAGGCTCATGTAGCTTAGACAACATAACCTCCAATGGCACTTCACGCTCTGCTACCAAATTCTACTCT